ACAAATCCTGTATTTCCGTTGGAGGAGGATTCGAAAATAAAAGCTTGAATTGATTACAAAGTGTGTTTTGGATTTCAAAGCAATTAATTACTTATGGGTTTCACTAATAATAATTTTTTTATTAATATTACATAATGGAGTTTAAACCAATTTTTTCACATTTTTTTAATAAAAGAAAAATGTATGTAATTTTATATATTTTACAGTTTATATGTTACTAAGGAAAGAAAACACAAAAACTTTTGTCAAGAAATTTTGAAAATTGCAATTTTTTCCCTTAAATTACTTTTCAAAATAGGGCGTGATATGTGGGGTGGTCGAAAAATTGGACCGGTCCAAACCATTTTTAATAGTGTTCGTCCGTGGATTAAATCACGTCAGTATGCCAAATTTGATCAAAATATCTTAAAAATTGCGGCATTTAGCTTGGACACAATCTTGCATGAACAGACATCAAAAGGATAAGCGAACAGGCAGGCTTAGATCGATTCAGAATAATTTTCTCAATATTTTTCGGCATAATAAATGGTGGGTCTATCTTATCCTCTTCTGCGTGTTACATACGTCCATACATCTTCGAAATACCCTGTATCGCTAATGGTGTAGGGTATAATAACAACAGCTGCTGTTGCCTATATCTGCAGATAAATATTTACAAGTTCAGAAAAGAGCACATTTAGAACAAACCCGAATGTATACGTAACAATGTTCATTCTTTTTACAACAATAAATACACACATTAATCACAGTATATATATAATATTCTAACATAACATTTCATACTCAGTTACTCGTTTGCTTTATTTTTATCTTATTTTTACATTTTATATTTGTCTAAGCTTATATCTAGGCACTCAAAAGCGTAAGTGTGGAAGCGTGTTTTAAAAAGAATGAAAAGTAAAATAAAAATAATTTAAATATAGTTGGTGCTTGTAGGACATACTAATACACCACGGAAAATGGTCTTTATTTAAGAAGCTTCCACATATTTCATAAAAATTATATTTGACTGTCAACTGTCAGCGACGCCTACACACAATAACTGCACACGAGCTTTATAAGCGACGTCTTTACACGATTTGTCTAATAGAAGCAAAAGAGCATAATGCTTTTGAAAAAGGTCTCTTCTATTTATCTAAAAGTATGTATTTCGCAGACATGGGAGAGCTCATGAAACATCATATGAATATATTATATACGCACGTACATAAGTTCACGAATTCATTTTCATTTTCATGAACAAAAAATCATTACATGTTATGTTAAGATTATATTTGATATAATAGACGATGTTCAGTCTGGCAGAATAGGGCATTACGTGGCCGCTCTTCATCGTCTACAATGTTAGATCTATATTTTAACTCTTTTTCTCGTTGTTTACAGGGTGCTCAATGAACCGGTAGATTAAAAGCTTACTATCCATTAACCACTAGCAACTTTATTTAGCAGCAGCTAAAACCAAGCGCTTTTCTTCCATTCATATTGATGTGTAGCTATATTTCAATACCTAAACAGTAGTTAATATCCGTATAATTTTTTTTTGTACTCATATATTTATAAATAAAGTTGTACTAAACGACCTTGAGCATTATATTTTTTTCTATTATATATTTATGCTTGAAATTAGTATTCGATTAAATTTTATGAATACACTGCATATTGTAGAAAAGAAAAAAACAAAAAAGATATAATTTATATACGACTCAGATCGAAACATTTGATACTTCATTGGCAAAAAAGTTTTTTATCCTAATCTCTCGAATCTAAAGACAAAAAACCATAAAAAAAATATTAAACAAAATGTAACATGCTATGTTACATGTTATGCATATCGCATACAGATTTAATCGTATGCATTAACACTAGAATTACTACGGCACATAACATAACATATTAGGAGCATAATCTACTTGAGCAAAATGACCGTAAAATACTCGATGATAAACTTATATAATTTACCCCAGGAGCTGATATAATAACATATATAAGGAATTGTTACACAAACAGCTCCAAGCGATAGATTTCCCATTTTTATGAAGCTTTTATTAAAAGCAAAAAAATTAATTAAACATCAAATTCGTTGTTCTCGACAAAATTTTAAAATCATAATCGTGATCATAACAAACAGAAACCGACAGATTTGCCTAAATCAATTACGTCCTACATCTTGGTAAAATATATATAGGCAGGTATGTAGATAGGCAGACTGAAAACTGGATAGCACAATAACAGAGTTGATCGTACAGTTATAGCGTGAACGTATCTGAATATAAATTGAATGAAAATGTATGAAATTTAACTACCCAATTTTAGCTAACCTTCTTTATTAATAATAATTTGTGCAGTCTGTGTCGAATGATTTAATGGATTACAAGTATACTATAACTTAAGATTCCCTCTGTATTGGATATGATAAAATGTTGGAGGCGTAACATAAATACGCTTGCGTAACACAATTTACGTAAAGCATAACACATACTCCCATTGAACATACGCAGAGATTAACATAAAACAACAAATTTCAGAATTATGCGACTCATTTTCAAATATCTATTAATGATGAAACCGCCTATTAATCAATTTTGTAGGCTTTTGAACCTAGATTGACGTCTGTCAAAACAATGAATTTAAATTCAGTTTTATAAATTACAATCGGGATTTATTTCCTTTGGCCGCAGATATTTGAAATAGTAAATGCCTTCAACGGCATGAATATTAGCATACGTTTTGAATAATAATTACAGCAATAAATCGATAATTTTTGTTAGCGTGAATCGTTTTTAATGCCATTGGCGATGCTAAATACTAAACATATGTAATATTTTTAGAAAAACTACTTAAATATTTTGATTACCTTGTCCATTTATTTGTTTAAAATTTACTCAAATGTATAATGTATTAAACCCTTAAGATTTGATAGTTAGCGTCTTATAAAGATACGTTGAAACGCTCCCAAAATTATTATTTGTTAACCATAAATTAAAGTTACAAATGGCGATAATCCGCCCTACGTGACCACGTTTGCAGCACCAAATAATTTTAAAATGTGGGCCGTAAAAGACATTGAATTAAAATTTGGAGCAAATAATTCAAAATGCTCCCGCTCTACCAACTAAAATAGTTCTATTTAATAGATTATTTGACAATTCATATGTACTGGCATAAAATGATGGGTATGGAAGATTTAACTGAAGATAAATATAATTTTCTTACTTGTTTGTTTAATACTTTAAACTCATAATAAATTTCTGTATACTATAGATATGTGGAAGAGATTCTCAATTTATTTTGAATTGACATTTTGACTTATGTATATAATCTATATAGGGGTATACAACGGACAGGTAGCCAAACGATTTCAAAGAGGAATACATGTAATGTTAATGACATCATATATTTATTGCTAGATACACCTAACGGTCGTATATCGCTTCAGCAAGATCAAATCACGTGGCTAAGCATTATGTTCTACATTTTTCTTATCAATAAAACTCATATCCATGCGTTATAAATATTGCTGAGCTTTTCTAGCGATTACATTATGTCAATATGTTACGGGAAAATTTTGTCCTAAAAGTAATAATATGCAGAATAAATAAACAAGGACGATTTTGGCTATATTTTTGTATTTTTATATAACAGACAAACTCGCCGTTGCAAAAGTTTTCTGTCGTATCGATTCCTTTGGTTTTCTCCTTTCTTTGCCCGTTGCCTTCTCGTCTCTTCCTATTGTTTTAGTTTCTTAAAATGTATAATTTAGCCACGGGTCAGCACACTTTTCACCATTATTTACAAATAATCTCCTATTCTACAATCATCCTGGCAAACGAAGAATTAATCCATCTTGGAAGAAAAATACAAATTGGCAAAAGCATTTTAAAATGGCTACGTGTCAATAAGAAGAAAGAAAGAAATAAGAACAAGAAACAAATTTGAAGAGTTGAATATTTCTGAAATGAGATTTAAATTAGAAAAGGACGTTATGCAGCTAGCGGAAGAATTAAATTATTAAAAATTAAAATGAAAGAATAAAATTTGTCGCTATGCATAACTAAAGCACGAAAAGGTTTGAGATATATGACTTCCTAACACTTTATCCCGCAATTGCACCTATTTTTTTACAGTCTAGCAAAACAAAATTAAGAAAAATTATCCAACACTATATTTTGTTCAAAACACTATACATGTTAGCTCAGTTTGGTATGGTTTTTATTTCGAAAAAGGATGTGCGGAGAATTCCAAATAGAAGACAAGACTAGAAGGGTCAATTTATTCAGGAAAGCACTACATTTTTATGTACTACGAAAACCGTGAAAAGCATTGGTTTGGTTGGTCTTCTGTTTTCCTATCCTGGGTGAAGACCTCAGGAAAATTATACTTTAAATAACAAATTCATTACAGCATTTTGACAAAGGCAAAGACAAAGCAATATTTCACCCTCAATAAGTTCTAAACATTCCACCAAACAAACGAAATGTAACTGAAATTAACACTATGAGTTCACTTAACTCTAACGCATATATTATTATTATTGTTAATAAATATATTTGAAACATTGTTATACTCGCCTAAATGTTCTTTTTTTCATTTATTTAAATTTTTTTTTAAAAACGACTGACATGTAAACTTTAAAAACATTAAAGCAAAATATTTAAAGAATTATAGTAGCTACAAACAAAATTTCTAGTAATAATTGACTTACAAAACAGAAAATGACGAAAAACTTAAGAAACAAACCAGCTCTTCATGACCGTTTAGCCTTTAAAAAGTTTTATAAAAATCTGAAATTTTTAACTAACAATCGGACGGTACGAATAGATGTACTCATACACACAAACTTAAAAATATTGCAGAAATTAAAAAAAAAAAAAAAAAAAACATCAGAATTAAGCACAATTTTTGTTTTGTAGTTAAAAAAAAATTCAACTTTGTCCTTTAATAGAAAGAAACAAGAAAACAATAATCTTTTTATATAATTACATGTTATAATCAACACTCACATGTTATAGAATTTCATTATGTTGATATGTTTTCGTGAATTTTTGATATTAATTCAAGAATTTTGTTGTTTTTTGGATTTTATTTTTTAATCAGCCTTGGGTTTTAGTCACAACCTTTGTTAAATAAGGTACAATATTTTCTTTGTGTGCGTTTTTTTTCTTTGTGTAATTTCTTTTCCTTTTTAACGTTTTAATGCGCTTAACTTAAGGTCTAAGTTGAAAGCGTGTTAGCCCACTAGCACTTCTTAATAACGACTGGTGTATGTCAGTTTTGCTAAAGACTCAAGAAAACAATTTGTTTCTATTTCATTGTGTACATACGAGTGTAGTTTCTTACCTTTTGCCACAACAGCATAAAATTGTACACCAGCTCTAACCTGCGCGCACATACACATTCGCATACATAAACGTACACACAAACATATACAACCTGTATGCACTACCAGCTTATCAACAGCAACAGCAGCAACAACAGCAAATTACTGTCAGTATTTTTTTTAGTTGAAATTTTTAAAAGACAAATAACAGCTATAATAACAACAACAATCAACCATATTTATATGACAAAACATTATTACATATACTTGGGCACATACATCATTTAAAGACAAGAAACCAAAAATTCACACCCAAAGACTGGTTTTTTTTTTAATTTTTGGTCTCTTTGATCAAACCAAGCGCTTCTTTTGCTCCATTACTAATTTTTTTGATTATTTTTCCTTTTCTTTTAACTGAATTATGATATTATACAAAAAATTTGTACGCAGAAGCACCACCCATGTACACATATGTACATGCATACTTAATTTTACCAAATACCAACAGACCTTTAAAATATTATAACGTAAATATGATCATCAATTCCACCTGACTCGTTAAGCAGACATGCGAAGGCAAAAGAGAAGAAAAAAGCTCAGGAGATTTTTACTTCAAACTTTTTTAATTTTAACTGGTTTTCTCTAATATATCATTGATGATTATCTTACTACCTGTTGTTGGTATTCTAATGAAAAACACACAAGTTTCTTTATTTTATTTATTTTTTTTGTTGGGCTCGGAGCAATTTACACATGTATATGTATATGAGTGTGATTGGACTATTTTTGGCGCATGTTTAAAAAATTTTTTATTAGTTTTGCCTGCATATATATGAAATACTTTTTCTATTGTGTGATAATTTCAAATCCTTGAAATGGACGAAAATATTTGTAAGGGTTAATATTCTGCGACAATGTTCTCTTTCAAGTTTTCAATGGAAAAAAAAAAGAAGGGATATAACCCAAAAGAAGAAAGAATTTATATTCTACTCGAGCTGAATTTTTTTAATGCAAAATAAATCGAAAACCCATTCGTTTGTTATAAATCGTACATAGTTTCACATACGATTTGTACCGCATATATGTTCTTATATTAAAACTTTTAATTGTGGAACAAAAGTTTTATGTTTACAAAACTATTACATTTTCGAGATAAGGGAATTTTGGAATTAACAGGTTTTCTATATTATAGTTTTCAAATATATTTATCAAAATATGAAATAAACCAACAATGGATAATAAAAAATTCGATAAAATTTAAATACAATATGCTTCTACTTTTTAAATTTGCTTAACACACAATTTTTGGGGCAACTAAAATATTACGGAGCTAAACAAAGTAAATGTAATTTAATGCAAACTTTTTATAATACTTTGAAAATGACATCTTCTTTCTCGCATCTGTGTCTCCTTATTTAAAATCCTAAAAATAAAAATGTTATAATATGCAAATCTTTTATGTATAAAATTAAATCTTAATTCTGATAAAACTTAGCCTTGAACTAGAAAATTTTCATGATTATATTCAAAAAAAAAAAAAAATATCCACATTAACATTGTCATATAAATTCCAATAATATAACGACGAACGCGGAAGATGACAAAGGCGCGAATACAAAAAATTATAACTGCTTTGAAGCGAGTTTTGGATGCTCATCAGCCAACAAAATTACTGCGATAACTTTTCATTAATTATCGCAGTCAATATTATTGCACTAGTAAATCCTTGCGATAAATTTTATAATATAATCTACCGCAGTTTCTAAATAATTTTTCATATGCGGCGCGTATTTTAAGGTTTTTCAGTCACCAAGCAAACTCATGCTGATCTACGAACGTAAAGTACATACGTACATAAAATACAGAGGTTTATTTTCATCAAAATTTTTATTAATATCAAAGATCATATACTTCCACTAATAGTTCGTGGAAAATCTCGTCTCTATGCTGATTTCTTTCGTGTATAAGAAGAACTTTTCCGCTCTTTCATTGAAATTGGCTACGGTATATATAGAAAACTGACGCTAGATAGAGGGAGTATATCTATACGTGCGCTTATTTTCAGTATTAAAATCGCTTAATATACTCTACTTTATGACCTCCGCAAAAAGCTTTACACTGCTAATATGCTTTACTAATTGATATAGAGTAGTTTTGCAATGCTCTTTACAAAAGATTCTGTTCAAGAACTTGTTCCTAAAGTATAAAATTTTAAATCAAATTCTCTAGTCCTTGTATTTTTTTACACTTTTATGTAACTTGCTTTCGTGCTAACATGGAAATTCCAAATTAAAATTTCAGGAGCATCCCTGTAGGACAAAAGTAATACAATCAATTTTCTTTTATATACAAGAATTATGGCCGAAAAACGGGATCAACTATTCAGAATGAACGAAAATTTGCATATTATACTATATTTCTCCTACACTTTATTCTACGTACTTTTTCTTAAAAGAGGTGTTGTTACACTACTTATTATAACTCTGCTCCTCCTGTCCCCGCGGATCCCACAGAAAAGGAAATTTGCGCAAATGCGTTTTCCAAAAATTTGCAATGCAGATGATCCTTCTAAGACAGAAAAATGTATCGCGTCGTCAGAATGGATCCCGTGTTGAACTCCTCTCATGGTGGCGGTGTAGCGATTCTTGTCTCTCATAGACCGACACACACTTGCATTTCCTCCCTCGAGAATTGTGATCGTAAATTGTAGCTGTGTCATTAACACAACCCTCAGTAACCCCTTTATCATGAGTTATTATGCTCCACCCGAGTATGCTTTTGATAATTTGCATTCCTTTAGACGCGATATATACATTCTCGTCTGCGGAGATTTTAATAATCACAATATATACTGACACTCTCTGAATAATGGCGATCTTACTTTCGCACATGGCTAAGGCGCTTGCTTTTATTCCATCTCTTCCTGCCCTGACCTTTCTTTTTGCATGCCAAAGATTAGCTCCCCGGCTACCTCGCGAGTTATCAATAAAACTTTCGGTAGCACAATCTGCCTAGTCGAAATTGACTAACACTTGCGCACTCTCTTTATAATGTTACGCGAACTTGCGTTCCAGAAATTTCAAGCCTCCAGACTTCAATAATTCTGCCAATAGTATAATAATAGTAAGCTAGTCGGCTGAAGTGCCCATCAAACTGTTTTGTGGACAACTTTTTCATTGGCTTCACTGCCACTTTTGCCAAAAAATACCGAAAAAATCACATCGCCCCAATTTCTGGTGAAACAGTACGTGTAATGTAGTCACTGGCATACTCAGACTCACTGTCAAAAGTTCCCATCTAGGAATAACTTTAAACCTCTGTCCAACAGAAAAGGGAATACAATTATACCCTCAAGCATAAAGATCGAAAAGGCTAGACAAATTGGTGCAGTAACATAAACAGTGATATGTCAGGTTCGGATCTAAGGCAAGCGATTAGTTTGCTCAAAGGCATCAAGATCAAGTGATCTGTACTAAAACAAATTTGTTTTAATATCTACATTAATGAAGTATATAACTCTTTACCTGAAAATGTTTCGATATTGGGACATGCAGACGATATTGTTATTTTTAGCTCTTGCTTTGATCTGATATGGTCAGAAAAACCAGAAAATCCACAATAGATCAACTTCGAGTCTCTACAACTCTCGCGCTACATTCGCAAGATGAAATGGCTAACCTTCTCTAATAAACGCAAAAAACTTACTAATGGGCCACTTCACATCAACGGCTCTAATAAACCTTAGGTGAAATCCTTAACCTTTTCAGGCTCACATTAGATAAAAAAATTAGAATACGCCTGTTCACTCCTACTTTGCTTTTCGGAAAGAAAGCTTTTGAGGCTCTGCAGGATTCAATGAAAATAAGTTGTCCTCACACATTGGTCTTAGACCAAATAAAAGACGTCATGTCTTTACTTGATATGTTTCGCTTAAATGTCAATCTTGTCATTAACAACATTTTATCTTTTGAGAATCATTTGGCCTGCTTTTCATTCTTTTACGATCTTGTATCGCTTAACTCATCTCACTCCTTTTTCCAAATCTTCTTGGTTACCCATAGGCAGGATTCATCCGAATGTGGTGGAGATCAAGTCCTTGCTTATTTATTTAGACATGAAACAGAGCTAAAATGATCAAATCGAGCAAATCGTATATGCTAATTATTATTAAAAACTGATACGCAGTATATGAACAAAAGTAAAAAAAAATAATAATAATTAATGTATAAATAAACAGGGGAAAAAAAACCGGAAAGAAAACATGTACACAATTAGAACACCACACCGGTGCAGATCCAAGTTACGAGCCAAGCCTTAAGCCATTGCAAACATGCAAACATACAAGCTTGGCAACCGATAACAGTAAACAACACCAGTTAATTTTCGAATCATAGTGAGATGATGAGATCGCAAGTTAGCTTAAATACGACATAGGCAAATCGCGCTATTAAGAAGTTAAAGAAGAAGTTGTTTTGAAAGACTTTAAAGAATCCGATATTAAGATTAAGGGATAGACTTCGTTTAGGTTTCTGCAAACAACTCTAAACGGATTGAACAGTTCATAACTATATTTACATTGATTACGCTTAGTGAAAATAAAGTGCCTAGAGAAACGATTAAAGTTATATTAAAGTTTATCTCACCAAGTAATGTGGGGGAACCGATAGTACCATTTATTAAGTTAATTAAGAAGGAAAAATCAAGCAATAAGGCTACGTCAGGCGATGTGATGGAAAGGGCAACAGAAGCAATCTATTCAATTAAATCTACATAACACCTATAGGAAGAAGACCATACAACAGGGGAATACTCAAATATTCCTCTAACTAAGCACATGTATAGCCTTTTTGTAATGTAAAGATCCTCAAGCTCTTTGAATCACCTCTTAATGAAACCAGCTTTATTTACATAGAGCTCAGAAGAAGAAGTTTAAAAAAATAACTATATTTTGCCACACT